TTCTGCCTCTCCCATTTTTTTTTTTTTTTTTTTTTTTTTTTTTGCCCCACTATATGTAGACCACCGTGTTTGTCACCTGGCTAATGAAGCTCATGAGTGATATAAAAAAACCAGTAAAGAGTGACAGCTCCCTGAAGAATGAAAAGTCGTATAAGTCCGAGAGTGTCAAGGATAGGCATCACGGCGAGGCTTCTCGGTCCAACCGGAGCAGAGGTAATATCGAATTCACCGACTCCCTAAATGGGGGTGCCCCCCCAACCCCGTATGGGTGTTATACGCCTTTGTGGGTTAACCGTGTGTGAGCCTACTTCTGATCTTCTCCACAATATGTTTACCTTTCGTGACCCCCGTCCCCTTTTTGTAGAATCCAAGTCAAGAAACTCCGTCACTCAAGGAAGGAGAACGAAGGTTCGTGACGCGTCGTTCTTTCCACGTCTAATCCTAAACCCTGAAAAATAGGGCTACACTTAAAAAAAAAAAAATTTCAAATTTTGCCGTGCTATTTGTGCCGTGCCTCCATTTTCTGCACGCGTCTTATTTCGCGCAACATGTTGCCCACCCCCTCGCCTTCACAGGATCAGCAAAGGGATTATGACTCCAGTAGAAGAGACACGTCCATTACAAGGAGGCGGTCCAGGAGTTACAGAAGCAGAAGTAGAAGCAGCAGGTACTCGCTCAACGATGCAGATTCGTTTAACAGAAGGAGAAACAGAAAAAGACAAAGGGGAGGAATAGGCACAAGATCGGTATCATCTAGCGTGAACGCGAGAAAATTTCACTACGACAGTAACCGACCTAGACCCAAGAGAGGCGACAAAGACATGGAACGAATGAAAGGAAAGGATGATTCTAAGTACAGAAGGGTCGGCAGAAGTGGAAGTAACTCAATGGCCCCGAGTAGAGTCATCTACGTGGAAAAGGAAGAAGAGAAAAAACTCAGGAAAATTGAAGCACTGCAGGACGGTGCTAAGAAAAGGAATGGTAAATGAAACCTTGCCCACTCCGCGTGCTGTGCTTTGCAAAATGATGTGACCAGAGGCATGTGCATGAATACCTGTTCAGTGTTCTACAATGATGTCTGCGTCAGGATGGGGGGATAGGCCACTCCGCCATTTGCCATGCCGAGGGAGCCGTTTCGAAAAAGACCACCTGGCTAACATAAATGTTAATGTATACATAAACGAAAATGTTCATTTTTTTTTTTTTTTTTTCCTGCATTTCCAAACGCAGATATGGACGGCAGACGAATGAGCGACAGCGGGGATGACTACAACTCCAGCGAAAAGAAAAACAAGGCCATTCTAAAGTAACCACATCTTCAGAGGGAGAAAAAAAAGAAAAAAGAAAAAAGAAAAAAGAAACATTGCATGTGGTTGTTGTTCGCCCCATGTTTGCTTGCAGTAATAGCGGCCTCCCTTTTGGGGCCATATATACATTTGTAAGCATCGCCCCAGCACGTTTTATTTTTTTTTTTTTGTCACCTCTTTGCAGACCCAATCCCCAATTTGGAGGAGATAATCAGATGCCGTTTTTGCAAGCAACTGCGACGAGTAAGTGAAATGAGGGACGCTGAAGGAGATGGGGCGATAAGTATTCGAGATAGTAGTAGCCCCCGACAGCTCCCTCCCCCACATGCGAGACGACACCATCGAGTGTGCAACGCGTTACACATATAAGTTGCAGTCCCCACACATATGTTTCTCCCCACTTTTCCCCCCTGTGTCACTGTAGACATGGCGAATCACGACATGCACAACTTCCGCATGAACAACTACCCATACGACAATGTGGGAGCGCAAGCGAATTATGAAAAAGGAATGAATCCTCCAGGGGGAAATTACCATCCTGGAAATTATATGTTAAATCAACAGAAGCTAATTGATAATAACACCATCAGTGGTAACAACTTCATGCAGACCAACATGCACAATAATAGCTTCGTTAATAATAGGCACCCGAACAGTGGCCTGCATCACCCTAATCGAATGCTCTTTAATGCGCACATGAATAAAAAAGGTCCTCACCCCCCAGCAAATTATGTGAACCCTAATAGGTATGCCAACAGTGTAGAAAAAAAGGGCAGCAACAAGTTTATGCTCCCTGTTTTGTACGTAACCATGTAGGATGGATGCTAAGTGTGCTTCTGAGGGGGAATCCCCTTTGCAAACGAAGAAATGTATATTTATTTATTTTATTTTTTTTTTCCCCTCTCCCGCACTTCCCACCACAGCACACTGAATCCCAGGAATAATCAGCACAATATGTTTTTCACGAATAATATGACCAAGCCGACTCCACCTCCTCCTTCGTATAATCCCCCCCTACCCGTGTACACATCACCAAACTTTACACCCCCTACCTTCACGTCTCCTGCGAATGCAAGACAGAAACATATGAATACACATCATATGCCCATGGACAGAAGGGTTCCTATGAAGGGTCAAACACCCAATGGGTCCCACCCACCAAATGAAGATGCTCTCACGGCGCAACAGAATGTGCAATCTGATACGGCCCTAAACGACCCAGCTGCTATGAAGGAAGATGGTCAGCAATTAACTTCAGAGCAGCAACAGCCAGGGTCAGCAGAAGGTGGTGTTCAGGGGATTGGCGACAACAGCATGAATTCGATGGGACTGATGAATTCAGGTAAGTGGCCCCAAAAGGAAGAAGCAATTCTTCTACAGACTAACTTCATGTCCTAACTACGTCTTCTTCACCAATGTGTGTACAATTCTCTCTCTTGTGTATCTCCTCCGTCGCATGTATATATATATATATATATATATTCCTCCTGCTATCACCCCCCTTCTGTGCAGACGCTCCCCAGGGACCCAACCCGGACGACCCAGCGGATCCCAAGAACACCTTTGCAAAGGTGAGAC